TTACTTAAAAAAGCGGTCGCAGCCGATTTGCCTATGCCTTGCGTTGCTGTAACAGAAGCGTGAACTATTTCAGGTATAATGCACTGCAGGAAGTCGAACTAAACTATTGTTGGAGAAAAAAAGCAGACCTTTTTCGTCAAAAAATTGTTATTGAGCTGAGAGGAAGAATGACAGTTTTCGTTCTGTTCCGAAACTAAGGTTTCCATGATTTTTTTCCTATGCTATAGTCTAATCCTATTCCACTGGTAATCAGAGCACCAATCGTCCTGGTAACCAGAAGTTCGAATGCGTGAAGTTGAAATCAGGCTCAACTATTGTTGCTGGAAACGCGAAAACCATTAAATGGCACTATTCAACTATTACTACCCCAAAAAGTCCATAGAGATAGTTCGGTGTCCCAATCACGAATATAGCACTCGTTTTGGGCGCTGGCGTTGAATTGGCGCCAGTTTGGCGCCGCCACCTTTCCCAGCAAATTGTAAATTTGCATGGTATGGTTATTTGATGTCCTGATCACGATTACCGAATTAGTTTTCCTCCCTGACGCCATTGGCGCTGACTTGGAGCCACACCCTTTTTCATCAAAATTGATAAAAACGTGCACAATGGGGTTGTTTGATGCCCTGATCACGAATATGACATTCACTCCAGCACCATTTAACCCTTTTCTAAGGCTGAGCCTGTGAGAAAGAGTGTTTTCCTTTAGGTCAGGCCAGCAATACCAGAGCGCAGATAATCACAGCGTCTTCCATCAGCGCCAGCGCCAAAAATGAATGTGATATATGCAATCAAGATGTTAAATGGTCTTCGTATACAAGTTTTCAGCGGATTTAGTAACCTAGGTTACTTCAGCGCCAGCGCCAAAATACCCTAGGTCAGGCCAAGTGGGTGCGATGTTCAAGTTCAGGAGGTCAATTACCTCTAGAACCCAACTTTCATCCAAATCTGCCCACGTAGAGAATAACCTGATTAAGATCCGGCCTGTTCTTGGAAAACTGGGTTTGTTTTCCAGGTAGAGCGCGTCAAATATGGTGTGAGTCCGCAGCCGACTATCGCAATGCATTCAACCTCACGCCTAAATTCTTTTGTGAGCCACTTGCGCCCTACTGAAAAATCGTTATTGTTCACCACTGCGAGCCCCGCCACGACGGCCACGCCTACTTGTCAGCGCGTTTTAAAATCTTGTTTCATAACTTCTGCTTATGTGACTTCTCTTATCTTTTGCTGTTTCCCACAAACACTTCGATTGAAAACGACCGGGCATTGACGCATGGCCGACTCCGTCCATTCTCTAGAAGGTTTGGCAATCTAGGCTCCGCCCTTTGTCCACGCGCACTTGCTTTTCGCGGAATTTTGATATTTTGAT